CTAGTTGAATTGGTTCACTTAACCAATCCAACCGATCAACTAAAAAAATACTTTTTTTTACATATTTATTAGATTTTACTATTGTATATTATTTTTATTTTATTCTTAAAAAATAGTCATCATAAGATCAACTTAAAAATCATTATTTAGATCATTTAAAATAATAAATTTAATTAAATACATATAATTTTTAAGATCTAAATTAATAAATATTAAAATACATAATATAAGATAAATTCATCAAGTATGATAATAAGAAAAAACTCAATTTTAAATTGAATTCACTACAAAATAAGTTTTGAATATAAAAAAAATCTTAAACCAAATCCACAATAAAAACAAATGTTAAATAAATGAAGTATCATTATTGATTCATTTATTTTGCCTTAAATGAGAACCATTTTCATCAAAGTATGCATGTAGTTCCTAGAAGTCATGCTCATCGTTACTATCTTAAATCTATCATCAATTGTTAAATCACTAAACTCTATAATCTTTATTGTTAAAATTTTAATTTTTTTAATTTATTCATAATTAAAAGTTTTATGTAATAATTAGTAATTTTTAAAAAATTAAATAAAAATTTTAATTTAAATCTTTTAACATCAAACAATTTCTATAAAAAATAAAAAGAAAAAGGAAAGAACAATATCATTAAATTAAATTTCATTTAATATTTAAACACTTAAAATTTTGAATCTTAGCCAATCATTATCATTATTATTTATGATTTTATTAAATAAACAATTTAAAATCTTAAAAATAAAAACTTAATTTAATTTAGTAATATGATTCATAATTTGAGCTTAAAGGTATTTAGTATTTTCTTTAATTTTATTATCTTATTTTTAAAATTAACTAGTTTATAAATTTTATTTTATCAAAATATTTTTTAACATGTTCTTTTATATTTAATGTGCCTTTTAATAATTAATTTTTGCAAAAGAATAAATATTAATTTTAATTTATTAAGAATTTATTTAATCTACTCTTTAAGAATATAGATTAAACTTTATTAAAT